CGTAATATTATAGAAGTTTTGAGAGCATGTTCTTTTGACCCCGACAAACAAACAGACAGACAAACGCATTTTAGTTTTTTTCATATGACCCTCCCTTCAGTCGAGGGAACATAGACAGATATAATGAATAAAATTATTTTATTTATTAAATTTCATTTTTATACATATGTTGATAGGCTTGAACTTCTGTTGTATTCAGACATACTTAAAAAATATTTTTTGTGGAACTCACATATTTTTTCGAAGAAAAATAGTGAGTGTAAGTTTTAAGTCGAGATTTTTACGGCTTCCCCCTTACACACACCTTATAAAAAATTTTTCAAAGAAAAATAGTAAGTATAAGTTTCAAGTCGAGGTTTTTGGAGCTCACGCTTACCGCCAGCTTATGAAAGCTACGCATATTTTCAAAGAAAATCAGGAAAAATAACTTTGAAGTCGAGGTTTTTCGGGCTCCCTCCCTTACAGATACTTTATGAAAGATACGTATATTATCGAAAAGAATAGTGAGTGTGAATTCTAAGTCGAGCTTTTCGGGACTCTTTCCTCTCACAGATAACCTTCGTTACAGGCAACTTATGAAAGTCATGTATATTTTCGCATACAATAGTAACTATAAGTTTTAAGTTTCGGTTTTTCTAACTCTTTCCGTTATAAATAATCCGTCTCTTTACGGAAAGTTTAGGATTACAGATAATTCCTTGTTACAGACATATTGAGTAAAAATTTTTAATAGTTAAGAGCACATGTTATTGCATATGTTTTCATGAATGAAATTTAATTGTCTGATGCGAATAGAGATTGCATGTTTAATGACTCATTGCCAATATTTTGTGGAACTCACATATTTGACGAAGGAAAATAGGGAGTGTAAGTTTTAAGTCGAAGTTTTCCGGCTCCCCCCCCCCCCCCTTACAGACAGTTGCCTATGGTTACTGATATATGATTACTAATAGGCGCGAAATGGAAAATGGTGAGTGTAAGTTTTAAGACTCCCTATTAGAGACAGGTCCGCATTACAGACATCCTCTCCATTACAGACATTAGCAATTTAATAAACAATAGCATAACGTCCATGCTTCTACAAAAGTTTAGAATATTTCAGAGCGTTTGTTGAAACTTGAATAGATTCAATTCGTTTTTGACTGTTTCAAAGAATTTGAATGCTGATTTTGATGTGAATAAAAATTTACGTTTAAGATGTTAACGATGATGGACAATGATGTATGGATTTGCAGTAATTAGCATATGGTCAATATAAGAAATCGTAATTTCATCAGACTATAACTTTGAGAAATAAATAGAATCAGTGTTTATGAGTTAATAGAGATATATAATAGATCGTTGATACTTGATATAGATACAATGAACATTTAGAACAGTCGTAGATTTAAGTTAAATCAATGATTAAAAGGATAATAATGTTAGAATAAGAAAAATAACAGTGTCATATTAGGAAAATAATGATGTTAAATTAAAAAAATCCGAAAATGAAAAATAACGAGCGGATAGTAACAATGCAAAATAAAAAATAAGGCGCCCGCATAAAAAAAATAAAAAATTCTGTTCCAAATGCAGAGAAAAAGAGATACTTGTTCTGATCGTAAATTATATTGGGAAACAGCTACAGTCATAAAAGATTTTTTACTTTATGTATTTTAAATTAGTTTATTGAAGCCCAAAGACATACGTGAGTTCCACATTTTAGCCCCAAAGGGGCTGCGCTGACAAGTATTTTTCATAGTGATGTGAAAGATTCTTAGATTTTTATTTTATTATTGTAGTTTATAATTAAAGATAATCTATAATCTCATTGATCTGATTTAATAAATAAGGAAAAATTTTTATAAATTCTATTTTATTTCTGACACTAAATGACCTTGAATCCCGATTGCTAACATCTGATTTAACTCAAATCTCGCATATGAATAAGTCTTTATGAAACTTAGGTAACTCAAAAAGATTTCGAATTCTACTGTATCACGATTTCATGTTTATATTTCTGTTAACAAATACGTAGTTTGTAAGTAAAGATATTAAATTATTCTTTATTTATTTTCCTTCGTCTCCTGTATTATGACAATATGGTTTGAAATGAAAAAATATCGCGAAAATTTTTGGAAGATAATTCAGTGAAAAGTAGGTCGTGGTCCAACATTTGTTGTTGAACGACATGAATAACTTCCATAAACTTGAAGAACATCGTTGAGTGTGTTGTGAAATTTTTTGATTAAATCATCGACTTGATCCTCTTTTAAATCACTGAAATAGATTTTACTGTCGATAGTTATATCAAATAATCATTACACTCACCCAGTAGAAGTTAAAAAATGATCGACTGATATTGTCGCAGGATGATTGTGTTACAAGTACTAAAAACAAAGAATAATTGTGTAACTTATAATTAATAACTAAATGACTAACCGACAAAGTATATGTATAAGTTGTATATTTATCATCAAAAGAATGCATTGATCGTAATTGAATATTTCCTTGTATATAATTGATAAACACCTGATTACCATCATCACGATTAAAAGCACCATATTCACTTGGCTATTTAGAAAAAAACAAATAAAAATTAATATTTACAAAAGATTCTTGCTTTAGGATCTTGTGCCATTAAGAAACCTTTTTTTAATAATGAGTAATGGAATACAATAATCAATTTTTCAGCATCAAGATGCCATGGATTATTGAAAAGAATCAATAATGCTTCCAAAAATGTAGGCATATCAATAAAATCTAGAAAGAATAAATCTCAAATATATTTTTTTCGTATTAATTTCATATAAAATTAATAGAAGAAAAGTGATTTGAACACATGGTCATGAAACAAGATAAAAAAATAATTGAAGAGGAAGTTCGACAACACGTAATCAAAATATTCCATTAAATCCATATATTGTTAGTAAACAATAACTTCTTGCATTATTCTCTTAGTCTAAATGGAAAAACTTCATATGTTAAATATTTATAAAAGAAAACTTTTGCTTAAAATTAACAATTAATAATAATTTCAATTCATTTACTTTGTTCATCTAAACATATTTAAATGGCCAAATTTTTTAATCAAAAATATTTTTCATTATAAATATAAACAAAGAAAAAATTAAAATAAAAAAAAAAAAGAAATGAAACAAACCATATCCCAATTAATTTTGGTTTTTATGTTGACAGCAATTGCTCTGATAAATAATGATCATTTTCTGCATCTAAAAGTAAATATGACATCATTACTTATTATTTTGAAAGATCTGAATAGAAACAAAAATGAAAATTAATATTTCAATAAAAGACTAATTAAAATCTTATATTGAATGAGGAATAATTTATAATTGATTTTAATAATCACATATAGAAACAATAGGATCTTGAAAAAGAACCATACACTGTTGAATATTAAATAGAGCCATTTTTGTGTACTCAAAAAGTGAGTACACTCTAGAATCGGTCAGTGTGTCCGGCCGTCCGTTTACACGATAACTTTTGAAAGGAGAGTCAGATCGCGATGAAATTTTCTACACAGTTCAGTCTTAACAATATCTCGGTCGAGAGAAGAAGATGAGAAGGATTGGCCGAGCCATTCTCGAGTTATTGCAAAAATATTCATTTTTCCCTATGCATTCCCTATGGAAAGATCGACCCATCCCCGCTTTCGTAAACAACTTTTCCTATCATAGTCAACTAAAACCTCAACTATTATATACCATTCGATAGAAAATTTCAAGAGCTACAAAATGGTATATAAAACATAAAGAAACAAGAAGGTTGACTCACCTATCACAAAGATAATTAAAGAGAACTAGGTTATGTTTTTGTCTACGATCTAATTGATCCACGTTTAGAGCTCTATCTTCCGATCACAGTGATGATTCTTCGAAGTTTTCTGGGATGAAGAACTCGAATCTGTACTCCACTTCCATCGAAATACTATTGATTAAACAGTGACCAATAGAAATCAAGTTATAGGAAAAACGACTTTCTTCGGGTAAATCTAGGTGAACAGTTCAAATCTGAGCTGTATTCGCCCAAAAATCCCATTGGTTGAGCAGTAGCCAATAGAAATCAAGTGTTTATAGACAAGATTTGCCAGGATAACTTTTATGTCCACACATTCTAGAATGGCTCATCTGTCTCATTCACTTTTTGACGTACACATAACTCTCGGATTTAAATCCGAGGTTTCCACATTTATTCTTTTCTTTTATTGAATATAGATTATATATTTCATTGGATTTGATTATTTTCAATACTGACTATAGGCTGATTGAATAACGGTTTCTTTCAAAATTTTAATCTGTTTATTGCTCTTTTTTGTTTTTCTCTTTTTATTGTAGTAATCTAATTTATTTTCTTCTTAAATTTATCTTCCTATTTTAATAGCAAGAATAACACAATCATGCCTGTGAGAAATTTTACTAAATCGAAATATATTATTTTTATTTTTATTTTTATTTAATATTGATCTTAGAACTTTTTATTATTTGGATATCACATACTTGAAATGTTTCATTCAAAGCATGCGTTGCATTGAATGCAATATAACGAAACGATTGTAATTCAGGAGAAAATTGTCTTGAATCGATGACTAATCGTTGAAATTTTGCAGTGGAATTTTGATTGACATCAATAACAGTGTCCTTGAGCGACTGATGTGATATCCACCACATGCCATCAAATGATATTTGTATATTAAGACTACTTTGTACTTTCTGACTATGTCCAATAATCAGTGAAAATATAATATTAGTTTGTATATATAAAAAGTCAATAGCGAAAAAGTCGCCCTTTTTTACCAACCCTTTTGGACGCCAACATGTTGTTCTATCATTATCAACTGCTTTCAATGTATTATAATTGATGAAATGTATGTAATTTGGACCACTAGGAACATTTATATATGTTGCTCTCTTTGCGTCTCGTGTAATATCAAATGGAATATGTTCAATATCAATAGGTAAAACATTGCTGTAGAATATAAAATCATCTTTTAGACTAGGTGATTTAACACAATATGGAAATCGACGATACTGTTGTCGAGGAAAACTAACAGTCATCGTTGATTGGTTTAATCGCAATGAATATTCAAGTTTACGGATAGCAAGAACTGAACTTGCTTTTTGGAAATCATAAAACTCATTTGTAGATGAAAATGGTGTATCAGTCTTATTAACATTCATTGATAATGAACGGAGATTTACTAACATTTGTGATGGAATATCATTGAGCCAAATGGAAAAAAATAAATCACTAAATGCAAATAATTCTAAATATAGAACAACTAGAATTATAATTTCTTATAAATAATAACTACCTTGATTAGTTTTTAAATTCATTGTAAGTAATTGAAGATGTCGTCGAGCATGTTCACGTAAAAATATACTTCCACTTCCGATCCATGAAAATCCTGTATGTAAATCAATTCGAGAATCCATAAATGTCCATAACATATTGTTATAATATGTGGCTACATTTGTCGCTGTATGTAAAACATTTGGGTCAGATCGAAAACTAGCAATAAGTGTGTTCATATAATGAGATACATCCCAATCATCATCAGCATAAAAACAAACAAGTGTTTTAGCTTCAACACATGCTCGATATTTTGCTTCATCTTTCAAATTATATTTAGAATTTATAATACGAACCAAGTTGGATGATTGATTATTTGTCAGAATTTTATTAAGAGTAAGATTAATTTGTGGATTGTTATTCCAAACAATAATTTCTTTGAAAAAACTTGTATTAAGATAGTATTGAACTGTTAGTTGTACCTGTGATAAACGTTTCCAATGAAGTATAATAGCAGTTAATTGATATCTTTGCTCAAGTTCAGCTTCAAGACTTTCTGCCTGTTTTAAAGCATCAATTATTGCATTAGCACCAATAAAATAATTTTCATTATTGTTTGAAACATTAATATGAGAAGGATATAATTCAATGATGAGAATTAAAAACAGGCATACTGATATTACAAGAATTTTTTTTCGTTTCAGTTTTTCGAACATTGCTTAAAAACAAAATTTTTATTATTATTTCTTAATCATACAAACATTTATACAACAAAAAAGAAATTAAGTAGTAAAGTTAGAGAACGTTAATTTCCTTACATTGAATATACAACTGCTACTCGAATTATGGTTTTTAACAGAGTAATTTTTTAAAACAAGATTCAAATTGACGCCGACTGACAATTATAGCATCATCAGAAATTAAATAAACCGTGTAAATGGCACTTGATGAAAAAAAGAAAATACAGAACAAAAAGAAACCAATGTATAAAATAACTCAATATCTATGTAGGATAATAAAAAAACATTTTTTCTCGTTTTCGTGTGTTATAATTGGACTCGCCAATTCATTTTGAAATGGTATAGTTTTGATTTAGTGATAGCTTAAATCTGTTTTCTTGAGCGATTTTTCGTTGAAAATCATTATTTTCTTGTGAGTTGTGTATTTAATTTATAGAAACAAATATTACCTGTGAAAGTGTATGCTGTAGATATAAAGAAATATCAGTTATGTGTGATACACATAAAGGATAATATCATTTCATCTTTCCAGTCAGACAAACAATAAAAACTCCTATAGTTTTCAAATTATCCTGTGCAAAAGATAGTGCACCTGATCGATCTGCCCATACCATTGGTATATTGGGGAGGCAGATACTCTATTTCTGTGGTAGTTTTATCAGTAGTTCTTCTTGAACCGCTTTTGGGAGATAAAGGGTTAAATTTAAAATTCTTTTGAGATTTAAATTTGATATATATTTTTACAGATCAAAGTCAAACTAAAACGTTATTTGTTACAAGATGGTAATAAGATTAAAATAACTAAGAATTCATC